TTGTGTTTTCATTGTCATTTGTTTCCATGATGTTTTTTAATTTCTTCCTTGATTTCTCTGGTAACCCACTCCTTGTTTAATAGCATGCTGTTTAGTCTTCATGTGTTTGATTTGTTTGGATTATTTTTATTGTAGTTAATTTTCAGTTTTATGCCACTATGATCTGAGAAGATGCTTGATATGATTTCTATGTTCTTGAATTTGAAGACACTTTGCCTAGGTCCCAACATGTGGTCTATCTTTGAAAATGACCCATGTGCACTTGAGAAGAATGTATATTCTGTGGGTTTGGGGTGGAATGTTCTGAAGATGTCAATTAATTCCATCTGGTCTAGTGAATCATTTAGGATTGATATTTCTTTGCTGATTTTTTTATTAGATTATTTGTCCAAAGGTGACAGTGGTGTATTAAAATCTCCTACTATGATTGTATTGCTATTAATCTCTCCCTTAATGTCCTCCAGTAGGTTTTTTTTTTCTTTTTTTGTTTTTTTTTGTTTTTGTTTTTTTAATGTATTTGGGTGCTCCTGTATTGGGTGCATATATATTTACCAGGGTTATTTCTTCTTGTTGGATTGCTCCCTTTAGTATTATGAAGTGGCCTTCATTATCTCTTGTTATGTCCTTCACTCTGAGATCTAATTTGTCAGATATAAGTATTGCTACCCCAGCTTTTTTTTCATTTCCATTTGCCATTTTTTCCACCCCTTCACCCTCAGTCTGTGTGCATTGTTCATTCTGAAGTGGGTTTCTTGTAGACAACAGATATATGGGTCTTGTTTTCTTATCCAATTTGTTACCCTATGTCTTTTGATTGGAGCATTTAATCCATTTACCTTTAAAGTTATCATTGATAGGTACTTATTTGATGCCATTTTTATTCTATACCCTTGTGTTCCTTTTTCGCTTTCTATTCTTTATTTTTACAGTAGACCCTTTAGCATTTCTTGCTTTGCTGGTTTGGTGGTGATAAATTCCCTTAGTCTGTTTTTGTCTGTGAAGCTCCTGATTTCACCTTCAATTTTGATTGATAACCTTGTTGGGTACGGTATTTTTGGATTCAGACCATTCCTTTGCATGACTTTGTATATTTCATCCCATTCCCTTCTGGCCTGATGAGTTTCTGTGGAGAAATCAGTTGCTAGTCTGACAGGGGTTCCTATATATGTAACTTTCTGACTCTGTCTGTCTGCTTTTAAGATTCTTATTTTGTCGTTGGTGTTTGCCAGTTTAATTATAATATGCCTTGGCATCGGTCTTCTGGGGTTCATTTTGCTTGGGACTCTGTGAGCATCTTGGATTTGTGTGGGTTTTTTCTTCTCTATCTCAGGAAAGTTTTCTGTCATTATTTCTTGAATTATGTTTTCCATGTCTTCCTCAGTTTCCTTTCCTTCTAGAACCCCTATTATTCTAATATTGTTTTGTATTGTCCCAGAATTCCCTTAGACTCTCCTCCTGCTTTTTAATTTTTTTTTTTTCCCAGAAGCTGCTGTAATAGGGTATTTTTTTCCATCTTGTCTTCTAGCTCACTGATGCGGTCCTCTGCTTCTTCTAGTCTACTCTTGATGCTTTCTATGAGTTCTTTACAGTAGCGATGCCATTTTTCACTTCTTCTTGGTTCTTCTTCATTTTCTCTTGGTTCTTACTCATATTGTCAAATTTATCTTTCATTAGTTTTTATTATTATTTTTTTTTTATCTTTCATTATTTTTAGCCATCTTATGATCATTACTCTGAATTCTTGCTCTGGTAGGTTGCTTCCTTTTCTGGTGATGCCTGCTTTTCTTTCATATTCGGGCTGTTTCTTTGTCTCCCCATGACCTCTCTTTTCAGGATGTCTGGTTATGTAGTTCTCTCTCCTGCTTTTATTTAAAGGCACAAAATACTACACAACCAGGTATAACACACAAGGCACTGAATAGAAATGTGTTTGCGATATTCATAACCTCCAATAAAGGTGACTAGAACCCAGGTAACAAAAATATACAATCAAACAAAAAGAATAGGCAAACCAATCTTACAAAAAAGCATAAAACTTCAATATAGTTAACATTCAACATACAACTACAAAGGGATAGAGAGAAATACTTTTTTTTTTTTAAAACATTCTTAAAATATATTTTATTGATATTTTACAGAGAGGAAGAGAGCAGGATAGAGAGTTAGAGATATCAATGAGAGAGAATCATTGACCAGCTGCCTCTTGGACACCCCCCTCTGGGGATGTGCCTACAACCAAGGTGCATGCCCTTGACCGGAATCGAACCCTGGACCCTTCAGTCCACAGGCCGACGCTGTATCCACTGAGCAAAACCGGTTTTGGCTTTTTTAATTTTCTTTTTTTTTAGGACAGCGACGAGGGAGGTGTGCATGGGCTTGGAGCAGGGGGTTGGAAATTAGATATACACAAGTAGGGTGAAATTTTAGGTGGAGGTCAACAAAGAATTGGAAAAATCTAGAGCAGGAAAGAGTTAAGATAAACAGGGCACCAAAGGGAAAAGATTAGGAAGAGAGTGATGGCATAATGGTAGAGTTGAGATAGAATAAAGCATTGGAGAAGGAAAGATAAATATAGACTGTAGAACAATAATCCCAAAATAAAAAAATAATAATAGTAATAAAAATAATAAGAATAAACAAAAGAAAATAAGATAAAAAAGATAAAATAGTAATAATGTTGATTACATATACAATGTAATAATTAAAAAGGTAAAATCAAGTGAGGAAAAAAGAAAAAAATAGTTTCTTGAGTTAACGTTGCAAATAATGGAAAAAAACCAAAAACTAAAAAATTAAAAAAATAAATTTTAAAAAATTTAAATAAAATTTGCAGTAACGAAGGTCATTCACTTCCTCTATTGTTCTCTTCGGCACACCTGTTTCCCAGTCCGGACAGTATTGCAGTTCTCTGTGTTTCACTGCTCCTCAGTGTTGTAATCCGGTCCTGATTTTTAAGCTGGTCTTGCTTTGATTTTATTACACTAGGGTCAATTTGTGATTTAGCCTCTGGGTGGTAGTGTTTTGTAGGTTGACTTCCAGGGCTGTAAAGCCTCTCTAGTTTGTTTTTTTTTTTTTACCCCTCTCCTCGGCACTGATCTATGGGGGAGGGCACGCAAGTCCAAGCCAACTGTAATCCTCTGTAATTCTCCGATATCCCTCCGAGTCAGATCTAAACGTGTTCCTCTTTAGATATCTCCCCTATTAGGAGCCCCATCTACTTTCACGGGTGACACCCACCCAACAGCCAGGTTCTTCTACTTGTAATCACCACCCCTGTCCTCCAGTTTCTATGCTCCCGGTGTGCAAGGGCTTTTGTCATTGCCGGAAGCACTCACTCACTGTCTCTCCGCGAAGTCTGACCTTTTCGCTGTGCAGTGGGGCACTCCTTTGAGTCCAAGTGTTTGCACCGCCTGGGATCAGCGTTCTTGGGGTCACACCTGCTTGGTGGTCGCTGCGGCTGTGGATATTCAGGCCTCTGACACAATCCAATCTTCCCTTCGAGATGGCGAGATTTCCCCGTCTATCTTGATTTTTGTTTTGATCTACCTTTCATGCTAGGGCTTTCATCAAGTTTTTTGTGACCTTCAGGTCTACATTAAGATGAACATTATGGGGTTTGGGGAAGCAATGGTAAGGTATGTACACATATAATATCTTAATAAAAAATGGGGAAAAATAAAATAGAAATAATTTTTAAAAAAAGATGAACATTATGACCAGAAAGATTATTGCAATCTCTGTGCAAGTGTGAGTTTGTGAAATGGTGAGCTTCACTGAACGGCATTAAGTCAGATATCTATGTGTTTCATTGATGTGACTCCAAGATCTCATTTTTTTCACAAAAGAACCTTTCTGTCATATGACACCTGGCAACCATCAGCACATCTAGAGTTCAGCAGTAGAAAGGGATTGGGACTGTCTTCTGATACGAACTTTTATTCATCCTCTTCTTTTATGTACTCTTATCTACTTTTTCTGTCATTACTAAATTTGGAAACACTCCATTATACTTTGTCTGGATAATAAATTCCCATTTTCTTCCAACTAGGAGAGTTGGGTGCATCAACTTCTCTTTTTATAATCATTTTATTTAAGCTTCACCTTTCACTTCACCTATAAAGCCTTTCTGTTGACAGCTGTATTACAAATTACCTTGCTTTTAGGTGTTATCCTCATCTGATAACTTTTCACTTATGCCACTGAGTTTTATAGTTAATTGACAGTCCATTATTTTTTTCTTTTCAAAATTTCCTAAAACTTTTCATCTCCTGATATCTCCGCAACCTTTTAGTTTTTATGATTATGTGCTCCCTCTCACCCCCTTAATATCATTTTAATGGAGAAGAAGGAAAGTGTGGAAATAAATGAAGTCATGAGCCACTTAATGATGGACATATACATTCTGAGAAATGCTTCAGGCAGTTTCATCACTGTGCAAACATCATAGATTATATTTACACAAACCTACATGGTATGGCCTATTATACACCTAGTTTATATATACTGTATATAAACTATGGGACCACTGTCATATATGCAGTCCATCATTGACCAAAATGTTGTTATACAGGACATAGCTGTATCTTATTTAACCACACATCCTCTTTAATAATATTTCTATTTCATTTTTTTTTTTTATCTCTCCACCCTAGGCTCTTCCAATTTTATATTTGTCCTTTCATCCTATCATCTGCCACATAAAGATATTTCTCTTATTTTACTAATTTATGAAGTGTGCAACATTACATTTAAAAGCAGTTTAAACTGCATGTATTCATGACTGTCTTTGTATTTGAATTTTCTTTGATATGTATTGTAGATTTGAATTAGTTTATTTATAGTAGCATATTTTAAAATTTTACTAATATGGAGAAATTGACAAGTGATACTGATGTTGATGATGGCAATAACTGCTTTATTGGATGTAAATTACATGCCAGGCACTAAATATTTTATAGTTATTAACTCTTCAATTATGATTTTTTTATATTCCCTTTTAGAAGAGACCTGGGAAGTTTATAAATAAAGACACATCATGAAAGACTTATGAGTTAAGTCTCATCCTTCTTCATGAAAATACAGCTAAGGAAGTACTCAGAAAACATAGGAAACAGAAAATTGTTTCCTCTGGTCACAGACATTGATTCTTAAGATATGCCTGTTTTGCCTAACCTCAGAATAAACAATGTGGAAAGATTTCCATCATAAATTCAACTTGCTTAGATATCTGAGAATTGATATTGGAGAGAAACCATATGAATTTAGTGAATGGAAAAGCTTTCATCTACGTGACACATCAAGAGATACTAAAGAAGTCTTATTGGAAAAAATATCTTCATGGTAACTATATTGAAGAGCCGTCAGACTGAATCTCCTTCACTATAATCAAATTCACATTAGAGAGAAACCTTATGAGTGTAATAAATGTGAAAAATTCTTTAGCCTGAAGCAAAACCTCATAGAGCATAAGAAAATGCACCCAAGAGAGAAATCGCATGAATGTCACGAATGTGGTAAAGTATTCTCTCAAGTCTCATCTCTTACTTTACATTTGAGAAGTCATACAAGAAAGAAACTATATAAATGCAGTAAATGTGAAAAGGCCTTTAGACAGAAGAGAAACTTCCTTTCTCATCAGAAACATCATACTGAAGAGAAACCTTATGAAAATGGAGGAGCTTCTATACAGATGCCAGGTCTTATTAAACACCAGAGAGGACATTCTCAAAACAAATCACATGCATGTAAGGAGTGCGGGAAAGCCTTCAATGCCAAATCATATCTCATTGAGCATGAGAAAATTCATACTGGGGAGAAACCATTTATATGTGATCAATGTGGAAGGGACTTTAGCCAGAAACAATACCTCATTAAACATCAGAATATTCATAGTGGAAAGAAACCCTTTAAATGTAATGAGTGTGGAAAAGCTTTTAGCCAGAAGGAAAACCTCATTATCCATCAAAGAATACATACTGGAGAGAAACCTTATGAATGTAAAGGGTGTGGGAAAGCTTTCATCCAGAAATCAAGCCTCATTAGACACCAGAGAAGTCATACAGGAGAGAAACCCTATGTATGTAAAGAATGTGGGAAAGCCTTCAGTGGTAAATCCAATCTCACTGAGCATGAGAAAATTCATATTGGAGAAAAACCCTATAAATGTAATGAATGTGGAACAATCTTTAGGCAGAAGCAATACCTCATTAAACATCACAATATTCATACAGGAGAGAAACCCTATGAATGTAATAAATGTGGAAAAGCCTTCTCTCGAATTACATCACTTATTGTACACGTGAGAATCCACACAGGCGATAAACCTTATGAATGTAAAGTATGTGGGAAAGCATTCTGTCAAAGCTCATCTCTTACTGTGCATATGAGAAGCCATACAGGTGAGAAGCCCTATGGTTGTAATGAATGTGGAAAAGCCTTCTCTCAGTTCTCAACTCTTGCTCTACATATGAGAATTCATACTGGAGAAAAGCCTTATCAGTGTAGTGAATGTGGGAAAGCTTTTAGCCAGAAGTCACACAATATTAGACACCAGAGAATTCATACTCATTAAAATTCTATGAATGCCCTGAACTTAGAAAATCTTCAACAGAATTCATATTTGTAGTATATCAGAAAATCCATCTTACACTAAAGTGACATGAACATGGAAAATCCTTCAGCACTCAAAATACTGAAATTTTAAATAAAAAATATAGTGTTATAAAAACTTATACTTCCAGAGACAACACAATAAACATTGTTAATGCTGTACTTCTTAGTAGCATTCTCATTGAAGTAAAGATCCAGCCATGGACACCAATCAGCGTGGTTCTGGAAAGTCCTACCTGATGCATTAAGAGGAACAATTGTCATGTTATATGTTTTGCTATTTGGGTAATTATCAATTATTTGCTCTTTTTCAATCATTAACAAAATAGATTATGACAGAATATTGTATTCTGAAATATATGCACACCTTTAAGAAGGAATTGGTAATTGACATGTGTATCACAGGTTGGTAGGGAAATCATGCATGAGTCAAAAGTGGACTCAGGGTAATTGACTCTTCATATGGAAAAGTATTAGGATATTTGCTGTCATAATACATTAAAATATTTACTTATGAAATCCAATAATATTGAAGACTAGAATGCAAAATGTGAAATAGTAATATGAGTTTTATAGGAGAATGTTTTTAAAACCTTGGAGGAAGAAAGAATTTCTAAAATTTATTCCAGAAAACTCACTCAAGTATATATATGTATACCCAAGAAACATAATATGTACCCAGGGAGTCATGTACCTTAACATTCACTGGATCATGAATTATATTAGCAAAATATTAGAAACACATATCTGTCTCTTGTGAAATGGTTGAATAAAATGATATAGTCACACAGTAGAATATTTTCTAGTAGTTAAATATACTTAACAAGGAAACATCTGAAAAAGTATGTAGAGTGAAAAAATAATCTGTATAAATTTGAATTAAATCACCACTAACCAACACCAGTAGTAAGCATTGGTTATGGATGGATATTTTGATATAAAACTATGAAAAATGGATTGCAAAGATATATACTCATTTCCCAAAAGTGGTTGTCGCCAGAAAGAAAGGTAGTGGAAGGGAAGTGGGATCAAGCATGGTAGTTAAAAGAGTACTTCAGTTTTGTATCTAAACATCCATCCTTAAAAAGAAATAAAAATTCCAGGTAACCACAACAGAATGTTAGTTAATTCTGGGTTGTGGCAATATATGTGTTTATTTTTTTTGTTCTATTTCTTTTAAACTTCTGAAATTAAAAATGATAAAGATAAGAGTAGGAAACCTATATATGAAGTACATATTAAAATGGGCTCACATTCACTGTCAGAAGCCAATTTTTCTGAAATTATGTTTTAAATATGAAAAAAAATTTAATTGTGATGGCAGCTTAATAGATTCAATTATTTAAATTTACTCTCACATGTCACATTACTGTGTGTGGTTTCTGTTCAGAAGTTATAGCATAATTTTGTAACAGATTGGTTGAATCACATACATGAAAGAATTTAATAATACACACACAGACCTGGTAGAGGGAAAGAATTAATTTTCACTGAAACATTTATCAGAAAGTTTTATACCCCATATAACCAGTATTGACAATGGAAAATAGACCATTTTAAAATGAGGAAACCATGTTGCTCTTATATTTTTTAATTGGCACTGAGTAAAACATCCACTCTTATGGTTTAGCCTCAAACTAATATTTTTCTCTCTTCTGCCAGACATAATCAATTCCCATTTGTTTGTTTCCATAGAGAAAGGGGTGCAGAAAAGAGAGATGGACCTAAACTATTTTTTTGCAGCAAATTTTTTTTTTTTTTTTTAGGATTTTTGAAATGGATGCTCGATCCCTTTTCACAGCAATATGACAGGTAGAAATCTCCTAATGCTCTTTGTTAATAGTGATAAAAATGAGTAAGTAACATTTAAACCATAGGTTAGTTTTACATATATCAATTTCTTTTAAACTCAAGATAATAAAATGCTAATATAACTAGAGAACTGCATTTTTGTTATTAGCATCTTTCTTTGAAGGTTAGTCTTGAAGTAAGATTATAAATACCAGTGCTTGATTTTCTGAGGTAAGCTATCCCAACAATATGCATGATATCTTCAGGAATCTAAGTTTTCTTCTACTTCAATCTTCACTAAACATTCTCTCATATTCCTTATGTGTTCGGCCTTTGTACTTGTGCACCTTTGAAGTCACCAGAAGAATGAGGAACTCAAGTCAGGCCAAACTAGGAAGACTATCTTTTGCTGCCTAAACGTGGCCAGTGCCAAGACGCAGCAACAAGAATAATTATAGCACTGGCTTGTTTGGCGCAGTGGTTAGAGTGTCAACTCACAGACCAAAGGGTTGTGGATTTGATTCCTGGTCAAGGGCAAGTACTTTAGTTGCAGATTTGATCCCAGCTCCAGTTGGGGCATATATGGGAGGCAACCAATCAATATGTCTCTCTCACATTAATGTTTCTTTCCCCCTTTTTTCCTTCTCTCCACTTTTTTTCCATCTGTCTAAAACCAATGGAAAAAATATCCTTGGATAAGGATTAAGAAACAAAAAGAATAATTATAATGGTCAGGTAAAGTAAGATGAGAAATTGCTGCACAGTTTCTATGATACTGTGTACTATAAATTTATTCACCCATTTCCTATTGATTCATCTTGTTGCTAGTTATTGTCACCACAAACAAACTTGAGTAAATACCCTTACATGTAGTTATTTGATTACTGGAGGGTAGATTATAGGCAAGAGGTTGCTAGACATATCTAAGGATATATGCTATTTAAACATTTTAATAGATACTATTAGTCAATTTTAAAAAGACAAGAAATGCTGTAAATAAATGAATAGAATACTACTTAGCCATAGGAAAAGATGAAATACTGCCTTTGTGACAACATGGATGGATCTTGAGAATATCTGCTAAGTGAAAGTCAGACATAAAAAGTCAAAAGTCAAGAACCACAAATTCACTCACGTAGGATATAAAACTGAAAGTAACAAATGAACAAATAAGACAATATGGTGGTAACTGGAGGGAAGGGTTTAGGGTGTAGTAAAGAGGGTCAAATATATGGTAACTGAAGATATGACTTAGAGTGGTGGGCACACAATGCAATATATAAAGGCCATATATCAAAAAATTGTATATTTGAAATCTATATAATTTCATTAACCAATGTCACCCCGATAAATTTAATTTAAAAATAGATAAAAAGACATGTAGTCTGCAATAGATGGCATTGACATGCTCAAATTCATGCTGGTCTGATGAGTATAAAACTCACCTACTCCTGGATTTGCTTTGTAAATTTTGATACTGTTAACCCATTTTCCTAAAGGATTATGTTTGTTGTTTTGTTTTTTTTGTGTGTGTGTGTGTTGTTGTTGTTGTTGTTGTTGTTGTTTTTTACAGTTTGAAGACCTCTTCATATATTAGCTAGTGGGAATTTGTCTAATTTTTGTTATAAAAAATGTGATTTTTTTCCATTAAATATTATTAAATGCCTCTGTAACTGAATATGTACTAATTTTTTTCTAAGCTTATGAATTAGGAAGATACTTTGGGGAGGCTGGAAGTGGAAGAGGGCATAGAGGGTATGAATAGTGAAATAAAATAAAACAACAAAATATATATTTTTAATCTCTAGACTGCATATATTATTTCTTAGTTTGCCTTGCAATTTGGTTATCTCAATATGTAAATATGTAATGCATCTAGAATTTAATGTCTTATAAAGAGAGGTTCATTGTTATTTTCTTCCAGATGGATTCCTATTGTACAAGCACAATTCAGTAAAATAGTTTAATATGTTCAATAGCCAATCACATAGCACTGACATCAGCACAATCTCAGATGTGATCTAGCAATTAAATAAACTGAATAGGCTTTAACACTGAATTCATTTTATTGGCAGCTTTATCCTGATAAGAAAACTTCTTCACAATATGTTTATTAGGCGGTCCTGCAACTGTCCAAGCAAGCACAGCTTTCAGGACCTCAGCACTGGGAAACATTAACATTCTCATCCAGGGCATTTTACAATAATCCACCAGTTCACATATGCATGGTGTGCCACCATCACATGGGCACACTCAGGTGGAAGACCGATATCTACTTAAGCATAGGGAAGCCACTCCACTACCTTGGCTTCCTCAAGACATATAATGCTTTACTCACATAGGCTGTCTATGTGCCAATTCACAGATCTCCCGATCTAGGTAAAGGCTACAGGTGTGGGATTTACAATGTTACTTCAAGGATGCTGTGATAGAAAGGATGCTGTGGACTGGCTGTTTCCATCTACAAGAGTTCAAATCTAAAGTCATCTTTCCAGATATGGATCAATGAGAAAAACCTTTCCAGATATGGACCAGTGGGCTTAATCCTTTTTCTATTGAACTGGAACTTGTGCTATGTAATCATTTACTCATATGATCTTTCCCCTCACTCAACTGAAATTATCTTATATTTTCATTTACCTGACCATTATAATGGTCAGGTAAAGTAAGATGAGAAATTGCTGCACAGTTTCTATGATACTGTGCACTATAAATTTATTCACCCATTTCCTATTGATTCATCTTGTTGCTAGTTATTGTCACCACAAACAAACTTGAGTAAATACCCTTACATGTAGTTATTTGATTACTGGAGGGTAGATTATAGGCAAGAGGTTGCTAGACATATCTAAGGATATATGCTATTTAAACATTTTAATAGATACTATTAGTCAATTTTAAAAAGACAAGAAATGCTGTAAATAAATGAATAGAATACTACTTAGCCATAGGAAAAGATGAAATACTGCCTTTGTGACAACATGGATGGATCTTGAGAATATCTGCTAAGTGAAAGTCAGACATAAAAAGTCAAAAGTCAAGAACCACAAATTCACTCACGTAGGATATAAAACTGAAAGTAACAAATGAACAAATAAGACAATATGGTGGTAACTGGAGGGAAGGGTTTAGGGTGTAGTAATACCAAGACATTTCTATATTTTCTTGTTTCATTAATCTATTTTTCTGTTCCTATACAAATACCACAGCTTCCAGGACCTCAGCTAATTAGTTTAACATTAGCCATATTGTGTTTCCATACTGTAGTATAAGAGTTAAATCCCTCTTGCTGTTTTTCACACTGTTAATGCCTACTCTAAGTTAATTTTATTTCTACATAAATGAGGATAGTTTTCTCAAATTAGAAAAACCTTTTGGTATTCTAATTTGTATTGCATTAAATTTATACATTTATTTCGGGAGAAGTGACATTTATGATATTGCCTTTCTGCCCCCAAGCAATGCCTTCCCATTTGTTGAAATTGTCCTTCAGCAGAAGGATTCTGAACAGAGTAATGTGCAGCCCATCTCTGCTTAATACCATTATATTCAAGAAAGATTTAATATATGGGTGAATAAGAAAAATCCCTGTATGGACTGACTATTTCCATCTACAAGAGTTCATATTGCTAGTGTGATGATATTTGGAGGAGAGGCTTTAGGAAGGTAATTTGGTTTAGATTATATCATGAGGGTAAGAGAGAGAGAAAGAGATATCTCCATGTGAACATAAAATGAGAAGGCAGCTGTCTACAAGCCAAGAAGTAGATCTTCATCAGAAACCAAATCTGCCAGCACTTTGATTTTGGAATACTCAAGGTAATACAATCATTTCCTGCTTAATTGTATGCCAGTCAGAAATGAGGTTATATTCTCTTAATATACAGTAAGACAAAGACACTTTATCATTAGGGGAGTGCAATCCTAACTTTATTAACAAGTTCTATAGTTTTGGGGAATTTATAAAACTTCTATTAAGCCCCAATTTCTTCATTTTAAAATAAGAATAATTGAAACAGGAAATATGTGACAGATATTCCTAGAGCAACATAACCAAAATGTTAAATGAAAAAGCTCCAGTTTATTGTATCCCCACAAACTGAATAAAACATGCTTTTTGAACTAACTTTGTAGTAGCCCTGGAAAGTAGTCACAGGCTTATAGGAACAAGCAAGTGCCCAATAAAGAAAAAGCCATCTTCAAATGTTAAAGTTTTGTAGCATTTTCATTCTTACCCCACTGCTTCCAGCATAGCAGTGATCTTGGTCTTGAGCAGGCAGCAACCCATTTCTCCCTCATACTGGAGGGAGCAAAGCAGGTTGTGTTTACAAATTATTGTATACATTTTTTCTAATCTTTCTTGGTACATGAAGGACTGATACAAGGCACCTGTTTTGCATTAGTCAGAATGCAGGTGGGGGAAAATAATTAGGTACTGCTCATAAAAGCTATAAAGTGGACTACAAAACCATAGATAAGTGGCTCGAGATTATTAGTGGAGACACAAGAGATAATCTATGGCCTGGAGGAAAATCTGGGGTAATTTAAGTTTGTAATTCTACTTATTATCTATAGAGTTGACAATACATTTATGAAAATAATTATAAATCTTTGTTATTGGACATACACTCTACAAAGATGGAACATTTTGACACTAGTGACAAAGAGAACAGTTATAGTAAATTTATTTATGTGACTAGGTAAGTTGATATTAGATTGTTATAACATTAGGATGTTATATGTCATCCTCATGGTAATTAATAAAGATATAGCCATAGGACAAACACAAAAGAAAATTAGAAAAGAATCAAAATATGTCACAAATATAAAAAAAATGAGGGCAATAATGAAGAAAATGAGGAGGGAATGCTGTGAAGACATACAGAAAACAGCAAAATAGTTCTTTTCAGTCAAAATGCAGATTGCCAAAATGGATTTTTAAAGAATGACTCAATTATGCTATGTACAAGATACTTTAGACCTAAAGTCCCAAACAGGTTGACGGTAAAAAAATGAAAGATAGTCCTTGCAAATAATAATCAAAAGAGAACAGAATAGCTAATACTAAAAGAAAAGTGACACTGAGTAAACAACTATTAAGAGAAAAGGATATATCAACAAGAAATATATGAATTATAAACATATATACCAGACATCAGAGCCTCAAGATATATGAAACAATCTGATAGGACTGAAAGGAGAAATATTTGTACAATAATGGATATATCAATACAGTCATAATCCACATAACAATGATTTGGTCAGCAGTGGACCACATATGTGACAATGGTGCATCCTGTATAATAAAAGGGTAATATGCAAATTGACCCCAATGGCAAAACAACCAGTCGCTGTGACATGCACTGACCACCAGGATGCAGATGATCAATTCAGGAGCTGCCTTGTGGTCAGTGCACTCCCACAGGGGTAGCTCCGCTCAGCCACAAGCCGGGCTGATGTGGAAAGTGGGCCTACGCCATCAGTCAGACATCCCCTAGAGTTTCTGGGCTGCCAGAGGGATGTCTGACTGCCAGCTTATGCCTGATCCCTGGGGGAGCAGGTTTAAGCCTGCAGGTGGACATCCCCTGAGTGGTCCTGGACTGTGAGAGGGCACAGGCCAGGCTGAGAGTCCCCTACCCCCAAACCAGAGTGCACGAATTTTCATGCACCGGGACTTTAGTAAGATTATAATGAAGCTGAAAAATTCCTATCACCTAATGACACTGTAGTCATAACATAGTGAAGAAGAGGCTAGAGAAAATAAAAGGAGAGGAGGAGCACCTGAAGAAAATTCACAGTAGTGTGTTTAAGAGGTTTTGCAGACCCCAACAAGCTTCTTAAAATGTTTGAAAGCATGGACCCCAACACCAAAAGGTTTTCTTTAATAGGAATGTTCATAGTCTATGATGGAAAAAAAATCAAACTATCATGGACATATTTTTTAAAAGTAACATTTCAGTAGCCTCAGGCAGGTGCTTCATGAGCTATTCCAGAAGACATTGTTATAGGAAATGACAACTCCATGTATGGAATTGCCCAGTAATACAAGATGTGGAGGTGGAAGACACTGATATTGATGATCCTGACCCTAAGCTAATGTGTGTATGTATGTCTTTATTTTTAACAAATAGTTTTGAAAGTTAAATATTTTAATTAAAAGAAAATAGCTTTTACAATAAGGATATAAAGATAAATATTGTTTTATAGCTGTAAACTATTTTAAGCTAAGTATTATTTTAAAAGAATCAAAAGTGCCCTGGTTGGTTTGGCTTAGTGGTTAAAGTGTTGGCCCATGGCCTGAAACGACACAGGTTTGATTCACAGTCAAGGGCTTGGTTGCAGGCTCAATTCCCAGCACTGGTTGAGATGCGCATGTGAGGCAATCAATCCCTGTAATCGATGTTTCTCTCTTCCCTTTACCTCCCTCCCTTCCACTCTCTCTCTCTTAAAAAAAAAAAAAAAAATCAGTGGAAAAATATCCTAGGGCAGTGGTTGGCAAACTCATTAATCAACAGAGCCAAATATCAACAGTACAACGATTGAAATTTCTTTTGAGAGCCAAATTTTTTAAAATTAAACTTTTAACACCAGTTCTTCAAAATAGACTCCCCCAGGCTGTGGTATTTTGTGGAAGAGCCACAGTCAAGGGGCCAAAGAACCACATATGGCT